CCCACACCCACACCCTTGTTTTGCTGTATTTATATATAGAGATGTTTCCAGGGTTTCTTTTTCTCCATTGCTTCTTCTAGATTTTACGCAAGTATCTATTATTTGTTTTGTTATTTTCTGTCACTTTGAGAGAAAGCATGAATTCGCGATTAATAGGCGATTTGAATAAAATATATCAATATAGTGAAGACATAACAGAATCTCGAGCGCGTATTCTCGAAATTATGTACAACGAACGAAAGAGGAGCACAACGATTTCGAAGAAGCGCAGTGATCGCATGGAAAATCTGCGAATGCGCCTGAATAGACTGACACTGATGCGGCGTGATGAGATAATGCGAGTTTATTCAAATGTAAATCTAAATAGAAATATACCACTGCTACGTCGATTATCATCGAATCAGCAACGATTAGTCGCATCAGTTATGGAACAACAACGAAGACTACCATCACTTCAAAAACAGGAAGAATCCGAAACGTTACAACAAAGATTGACTAATACAATGGAAGAGCCGAATGGATTAGGACAAAATAATGGTATGTGAAGGAGTTTTAAAAAGATTTCAGAGTAATTCCTACGAAATTAAAATGAGAAAAACGATGCTTCTGTTTCAAGACCATAGAATAAATGAGATTAGAAAATCTACTTTCAATCATTGTTGTCTGTTGAGGGGAAGCGAAGGCAAACTCTCGGATTCAAACTTACACTCAATATTTTGTGAAAGGATTCAAGAGAAATCCGACTTGTATCAGTCGATAGACTTTCTCTCAGAACCACTCTTGACAAGTCAACACAGTCAGTAGTCGCTGATTTTAATTCTTTCACATCTTCTTCGACAAAAAATAGGTGGAAGTGATGAACAAATACTTGACAGACAACTCCCTCAAGAAGAGCCAATAGATGAACAAAGCAAATGGTCCACAGAATCGATATCTGCGGAAGAAGAGACTTATTACGAAAAATGTAAACTGTATTATCATATTACAAAAATGCCATTAATATCTGTCTCTAATGATTTCTTTTTCGATGATATTGAATTAAAATCAGCATCATTAGTATTGGTCATTGATGAAGAAAACAATGAGTTAGATGTAAAAGAATTTTTACGAAAAATTAGAAATATATTAAATATTCAAGATATTGTTATTGAAAAAATGCAGAGAGGCTCTATTAAAGTGGTCTTTGAGATTTTCAGAAATGTTACTTCTGCAATCAAAAAAATTCAAATTAAAGCTTTATATAACTCATTAACCGATAAACTGCGACAAGAATTAGCTCAGTTAAAAATCTTATTCATGTTTATGGGTGACATTAAAATGCTATGTGAAAAGCAGAAATTTCGTTATGATATCATCCTGTACCCACGATGGAATCATTTGTATCATAGTGAACACACATTTTGGATTGGTGGTACTCCAGATAAGTTAGATCGTGGTAATAAACCATACTACTGTCCTGTTGGATGGAAAAGATACTCTTTTTATGTTACTGATAATTTCTACCAAAAGTTCCAAGGATGGTGCATATGTTATCATGGTACCAAATTTTCACATGGTCTCTCAATTTTATTGAGTGGATTGCTGCCAGCTAAAGCGGTAAATCATGGCGAAGGAATATATGTAACTCCATCCATTATTTATGCAGCTCATCCAAGATATTCTGAAATCAAAGAAATCGAATCATCATACGAAAGACAGCTTTTTAAAAATGGAAATTATATTCAATTCGTATTACAATGCCGTGTTCATCCGGAAGATATCAAAAGGATAGACAAGGAAACTTTAAATACTTCCAGTTCTACTATTGATTCTAACATAAGCAAGGACATTATTGAATGGGTTATCAATACAAAAGGCAAGCCTATAATGGATTTTAATGATCCAAATGCTACAATTATTTGTACAGGTTTAATGGTACGTATTACAGACAAACATCCTGGTTTATTACCTGAATCACAATGGTGGTTTGAATCACATTTATGCACAGAAAAAGAAAATCAACATTGTTTCTTAGGTATCGATCTTGATGATTTGAAGAGAAAAAAATTGAATGGAGAAATGTGCACTATTATTAATAACTAGATGATAAAATTCAGTTCTTCTCATGTCAAATGAAACTAAAAAGAATCCAATAAGAACGCATTTTAAGTTTGTAATAATCAATAAAAACGTCGATTATTGTGCATTTCGTAAAACACGATCATAAATAAATGTTGAAGTAAATTACTTAGATAGTGAGCAGTTCGACTCTTCTCAACAATCTGTGGCAAACTCGTCAGGAAAAGCTTTAACCGAATGACAGACATGTGAGTCTTGTCTTCGATAGGTTCAATGTCCACTCGTACTAAGTGCTGAACGAGTCGATATTCAGGGATCAGTAGGGCATGACTTATACAATGTTCGCCATTGATTTTTGATACGTTTTCGTTTTTTTCTTTCTCTTGTCATCGACTTTTGCCTTTAACTGATTTATTCAATCGATGACGACGTAATCAGTCTTTGCTACTTTCACGTACATCAACCGAATCAGTAAGCTGCTGTGTTGATACTTATTTTCTCGATGTATGGAGACACTTGTCGAATGACATATTGTCATTTTGTGGAACTCACGTATGTTTTCGAAGAAAATAGTGAGTGTAAGTTTCAAGTTCGAGGTTGGCGGCTCCCCCGCTCCCC